TAAAACACCAATTCAAATTAGACCCCCCTTATTCCCTGGCACTTTTCTTGTCGATACTGATCGGCTCAAGGACTGTAGCAGATCCAATCTTACAACGCGACGAACATGCGAAGACACACTTGTGTGTGTGTGATTGGCTCTGCCTTTCCTTCTGGACACTCCTGCGGTACCGTGGGTTACATCTTCTCCTTTCCCGTACGGATTTTCCTTTGTGCATTTTCTTGTTTTGCCGTTGCCAGTCTTTCTGTGCTAGCAAGTGGTCACAATGGTACATCTGTTACAAACGGATATGACAGAACCAAAGGACCACATTTTGAACACTGCCAAAACAGCCATATTGTGACCGACAGTTTTTTTGGAACACACACACAGACCAGGTTTTAATCGTCTAATTACAACCGACACCACCAAATCACACCTATCATAACAATTCTAATGTGTATACAGATATCTTGCATGTGTAGAAGAGAAAGACAATTGTGTACACGGGTCCCGGATCACATCACATGTTGTATTAGACTCCCAATGTTCAGGTTACATTCATTCTTCGTCAAACAAACACACATCACTCATCACGAACAGAAACACAAACAGTCAACCACGTTGCACCATTACTAACCACCACGCTTAGTGAAGAACACCGAGCACACAAACAATCTATCATTCAACATCTGTTGATGACTCAACAAAAGGAATTTGGGCTGTATATGTTAACACTAAACCCCGGCCTCGCAGGTTCCAGAAGTTGGCTGCAATGAGAAGAAGGAAACCTCACCTGTGTGTGTGTGTGTCTGTGCAAAACGAACTGTGAGTCACACTATCACTGTTTTGGAAGTGGTAAAAAGTGCGATCATTCGGTCCTGTCGTACTCGCGTGTAACTGATGCAATGCCTAACGCTATAAACTGTCCTCTTTTACCTATTTGTGCGAGTGGAGATGCAGCAAAATCTGCCCCGGCATAAATATTGCAATCTATCTGCGTTCTGCTCGCGCTCTCTCTCTCTTTCTCTCTTTTTAAAAACCTATTGGTTTATGAATTTATCCACAAGCATCACAATCTGTCAACATTGCGGAACGGCTGAACCTCCAACACGTGTCTGTGGAATAGCAATAAGGAGTCAACCGGACGGAAAGTCTTTTGAGATAGGCGCTGCTGTATCGACAGTTTCACGCAAAGCCCAAAAAGAATCTAACCTGGTTAACCAATCGCCAGTCGCGGTAAAAATGGACATAGGTCAAAAAACCCCGGTCCGGGATTGAATGTGATGTGCAGTGATGCAGTTTCATGATAAGAAATGCATACTGACCGTCGATGCCATAGCAGATCACTGCTCCAATTTGGTTGAACGGGACTGGGTAGGAGCGTTACCCAACGCATTAGATACAGTGCAATAGATCTCATGTCTGAGACAGAGTTGATTTGGGCGTCGGACCCACGTCTCGTCTCCAACCTTCACCTCATACAGTCTGCTTCCACATCGTTTGATTATTGTGGATTGCGCCCAATGGGGATGATCGGTACAGCAATCGCGTGCGTAGACACAGGATCCATTGACAAAGGCACACCTGGGGGGCTGACGACTGGTGAACACCAGTGGCCGACGGGATCATGGCTGCATGGACGGTTCTCAGTTTCCGACCCATTAGCAGTTTTGCCGGTGAAACTCTTCCAGGTGCCGATGGACTGGGAGTTGTACGGTACAGCGGCAAAAAATTGGTTGAGGGGCGCATCACTGGTCCCCTCTCCATGGGACTTTTGAAGTGCGCGTTTGAACGTATTCACGAACTTTTCCGCCTGACCGTTGGACTGTGAGTGATACTGCGGTGAGTGTAGCTGCTGGATTTGCCATCGGTTGTAGAAGTCGCGGAACTGAGCCTAGGCGAATTGTTATCCATTGTTGCACACCACTTCTGCAGGGAGGCCGTATTGAGTGAAGATTCACTGGGATGAGGCGGTGGTAGTGGACGAAGTGGCGGTTTTAAAAACAAATCACTTCCGGCCATTTGGAGTATGCATCGACGGCGATCAGGTAGTAAATCCCGTTGATTGGTCCGATGAATTCGATGTGCACTTGAGACCATACTGTCTCTGGTTTGGGCCATGTCGTAGGTGGTTGTAGCGCCGGAGGTTTCGCGGCTTCCTGGGATCGAGAGCATTGGTTTACAGTCTGTTCTATGTCGGCGTCCGTTGCGGGCCAGTATGCATAGCCGCGGGTGACAGCCTTCATTCTGGATATGCCGGGATGTCTGGAGCGGAATTGGCTAAGGACGGGTCGGCGGAGTGACACGGGGACAACCACACGATCGGAACACATGACGCACCCGTCGACGATGGAGAGGGGATACGGGCGTCGGAAGAAAAAGATGAGATTTCCGGTGGTGCTCTTTTGTGGCCAGGAGGTGTGGATGAACCTCCTCACCTTTGGATCAAAATCCACTGTTGCCCCGACGAAACTCCCAACACACATTATTCTCTTTCCTTCCACTCTTTTATCCCTTTTTATTAATTTTGAATCAGAAATCTGCCAAGGATGGTATTCTCATTGCTGGTGATCCAGTCGATGAGCCCCTACAAACCCTGAAACAGCGTTCTCGAACGTTGACACGAATATAGACAGAAGGTGAAAAATGCAAAGTTTAGTTTTCACGCATTCTGCTTGTTGTTTTAAAGGGGACACAGTAGTGTGCAAACTTGTTTGTCGTGATTTATCTTATCTATAGGTTTATACATCACAATTTATATCGGTGGATAATGATAAATAAGGATGAATCACCGCCGGTGAACTTGTTCGCTACTGACTTTTTTCTAACACTGTTTTTTTTAGTTTAGCTTTAGTCTTGATAAAGATGAACACTATATCATGAAAGATAAAGAAAAAAACCATTTTAGCGGCACATGAGCATCAGAACTCAGAACGGGTTTGTTCATTCACTAGTCTACTTTCTCATCTTTGTTGCTTCCTTCCAATCAGGGAGTCAGCACACTCCGGGGATAGCGAATCAGAACAGCAATAGGTGATTGATCGGAATCACTAACCAATCGAAATGGTTGATAGCAATCCAGTCAACCAATTGTTTGATATATACATTCCCCTGTCCTCGCTCTTTCCTATAAACAACCATAATCCTCGCAAAAAAATGAATTCCTACACGCATCCAGCTGTATTCTGTTTCACTACCTGTAAAGATCCTATTTGAAACCGTTGTTGGCCAACGCGTATCACTTTTCTCCACACCGGATCGTGTTCCTTGGTTTGGCAAACATCACCTGCAGTGACTGGCTGCGCACGTATGGTATCTACAACTAACCCACGTATTTCGGAATCCAATGCAACTGACATATTGACAGTGTTTTCAGATTCATTGTAATGTAAGTCAACAGAGCGGGAAAGGGTTTCTGCTTGATCGATATACGCACTGAATAGGTACTTCATGTCGAATTCGTATCCGAAGAGCATGGTTGCCAGGCCCTATAGTCTGTCTACCGAATA